GCAGAATTTCTCAGAAGTAAAGATGGGCAGAGGTTCAATCTTCAAAAACACTGATCTACAAATTGTGGAACTTTTTAAAAGTAACGTTGCTCAAAGTAAAATTGCCACAACTTTGAACATGTCATCGTTTACAGTACACAATATTATTAAAGAGTCTGAGAAACTGAAAAAATCTCTGTGCGTAAAGGACAAGGCTGAAAGTCAATATTGGGCACTGCATTAAAAATGGACATGAACTCAGGAACATCTCCATAAATCACCTGTGAACACAGCCGTGCATTCCACTAATGCAGGTTTAACCTTGTATCATGCAAATAAGAAGCCATATCTGAACATGATCTAGAAAAACCACTGTCGGCTCTGGGGGAAAACCTCTGTTAAAACTCAGTTTAATACTGCTGTGTGGTCAGATGAGTCAAAGATTACATTTATTTTCAGACTAAAGAGGAGGAGGACAGTCTAGTTTGCTATCAGCACTCAGTTTAAAAGCCTACATCTCTGATTGTAAAGGGGTGCAGTAGTCCTTTTGGAATTGCAAAGGCATCATCAATGCTGAATGCTTTTTTTCTTATTCTTAAAATGGTAAATTTTCTCAATTTAAACATTTAATATATTTTCTATGTTCTATTGTGAAAAAATATGAGGTATGTAAATCTTTGCATTCTTCTTTTATTGACATTTTATGCGCATTCTAACTTTTGCTGAACTGGAGTTGCACATGGCATTTAGAAGACTACATACAGCTTCATGAGGATGCACCTGTGCACAGTAGTGCTTGGAACTGACATTACTGTACCGAAATTCTCATAATGCCAGTGCTGACAAACTAACATGACGCAGGTAGTCAATATCATTAACCATCTGGGGACTATAACAGCCAGTATAGCTGTTAACTGACTGTAACTGACATTTCTCCATGGACCCCATTAATGGTCTTATTATTAACTTATTGCCTGAACTCCGCAGCCATAAAGCATAGTGTTGAAAAACCTTAACAGAAGCACTAAATGTACAGTTCGGTCGGACAGGCCTGGAGTAAACACCAGCTGCAGTGTTCTTGGTATTTGTCCCCTCCTTTGAAAGCCAAAAGCTGCGTGTGGTGTAACAATGGATTTAGGAGTCACGTGCAACATGTATCACATGACCGTGGTTATATTTTCCACATTAGGCAAGTGTTAAGTGACTATAGTTAAGTTTTGCAAATAAGCTAAAAGCCCCTTTTCTCCTGCCTGACCATCTCACACACTAACATCATGACTCAGCATATTTTATTAGACAAATAACATACAGTAACATTACTGCACATAATAACCTTGTACAGCATGAGCGACACGATAGGTGTCTTTCAAGCAGAGAGAGACTGTCTACACCAATCTACAGCTTAAGTCAACCATCAAACAACATAGAAGAGGCAAACCTAACTGTGTGCTCAAGATTGCTTTCTTACCCTTGTGAAGTCACTTTGTGCGCGAGGGGATCTGCGAGTGTGTGCCTGTTCCACCTGCCTGCTGTCACTGTGGATCTAGGGCATTACCTGGAGTCAGGTGTCAAATGCGGTGAGCACTCGGTTGTGTGCGCATGTACGTCCATGTATCTGGGCGCACGGGAGGGCGCACGGGAGAAAGCATCCCTTGATATTCTCACGCTGATGAGAATATTATTGTCCCTGTAAGGTGACGTCACGTGATGAAAACTCATGTCAGTTTTGGCTCATGTGTGTCAGAGAGTGGAGCACACGCACAGTCTGAAGGGAGGAGGTGTGTCGGTGGGTACAGGGGCAGTGAGAGTGCCTAGCGAAGAGAGATGGGCGTTCTCCTGTGTCTGTTAGTGCTGCTGTGCTGAGGAGGCACAAAGTGACACTTTGTTTTCCCCGCCAGATAGCCAGTGCAGGAGAACAGAGTGGCATTCAGCATTTCAACTGGCTGATGCTCATAAAGACTTTCTTTGTGGGTTAACTGCAATCATGGATGCACATGTGTGATTATAAAGGTCT